TAAAAACTTTCCTGATGAATTGGTTGTTCAATAACATGATGATATAAATACTTAATCATTAAATCCTATGGATAAAGAAAAACACAGAACAAAAAGAATTATCACTGGTTTTAATTCAAATAATATTGCAACAAGTGTTGGAAGTACTTCATTTATTGAAAACACTAAAATTAATCAAAATACAATGGATTATAATTCTGATATTGCAAAAAGTTGGAGTAAAACAACTGAGATGCGTATTCCTGATTCAACTAATGATGGCAATATTATTAACAAAGGAGAAATAAATCATATTCTTAACAATATCAATAACTCACCAACTGAACATAGTCTAAAGAATGCTCAAATGAAAGAAAAAAGAAAAACTTCTCAATTGGATCAAGTAAACAATGAAGATGAAAAATAAATTGAATTACCTCAACATGATGTTTTAACTGTGAATTGAACAATTTCTTTTATTTTGGTTTCACTCATACATTCATATAAAAAGAAGGAATTGTGATACAGTAATATAGTATTATAAAAATATAAACATATTAACAAAGAATGAGATGTTCATATCAATCAAGAAAATTAATGAGAGAAGAATGAGAAATAATAAAGAGTGATTGTATTAGTAGAATAAACTAACACAACAATAACTAACAATATAATAGTTAGAACATATGAATCAATTCAATCAATTCAATAATTACAAACAATAAGTTGTATTAACACAACAATAAATATAAATAAAAATAAAGAAGAAGAAAATATAACGAATATATAATAAGAAAGAGTTTAACAATCAATTTTTTGATATACACAACATTAAAACACAATATCTTATTTCATTACACGTTTGTTGAATAATAATTTTGTTCTGATAATCATTTAGTAAAATATTCTTAATGTATTTCACAAATAATCCATGATTAACATAATAATTAATAATAATTCTTTATTAATTTAAAATATTGACAAATAATTGTATTAATTTATATAGTAATATTCCTGTATCAAATTCTATCTGGTTGTATATACCTTTATATATTTAAATATCATTTTAATATTCTTTACCTTTAAATGTTTTATTATTATGAATTTGAAATACTTAAATATCAGGAAAAACAATAAGTAAAGTTGTATCATCGTATTATTTTTATTTATAAAAATTGTATTTATAATAAATATTATATTTTAGTTATATTTAATGATTGTTGAATTGTTAATGAATTTTTATTGTTGTATCACGTTATTATGTTATGATTTATTGGATCGAATGTGATCCTTCTGAAACAAACAACAAACAATAATAAAAATACATAATCAAATAAATAATTATCAGTTAATATACGATTATAATGATATATTTGAATAAGAAATATATTAATTAGTAATACAAAGAATGAAATAAAATAAACAGAAAGAATAATAACAAAAGAAAAAGATATAAATGATGATGTTAATAATAAATGAAATTAAAGATAACAATATAATAGTAATGAAATATTTATTCATCATAAAATAAGAAATAAAGAAAGAAGAAATTCATTAAAAGTAAAATATACAATGAAAGAAGAAGATAAAAAGATTAAATAAACAGAAATAAACAGAAAGAATAATAAAAAAGACAATAATATAAACGAAATAAAACAATAAATATTCATTTTAATGATGTGTAATATGAATAATATCCAATAATCAATGAATAAATGAGAGTTTTATTTATTTTTAATTATTTATTTATTTAAAAAATAAGTTATTAAAACAAGAATATAAGTATTGTCGTAATATAAAATTAGTTTATTAACAGTACTTTCTATTCATGAACTATATTTTCCATGTATATTTTATTTTCCTTATTATTATTTTGTATATTATTAGTGCTAAATCATGCCATAGTATTAAGAGGTAGTGTAATTATTAATCGACTCACAAAATAAATTGAAAATAATTTAAAAAAATTCAAACTTTACTAAAATTAATAAAAAATGGCAATCAGTAGATATAAATACCATTGCTGAAATTCTTCTGATTTTATAGTCTTTTACATTTACATCTAATAACGAACCATTGAATTGGTTATTTTTATTTATTGTTGTTTTGAACAATACAACCGACATTAAATACATTAACTACCTAATTTACCATTTTTAATATCATCACATTTAATACAACAAATACACTAAACAAATAGATTAACAGGATAAATTAGGCAAAATCAATTAGTTCCTTTCAGTGGCAGTTTTAAAATGGATTGAGCTAAATTTAAATGTTTCTATTTATGTAACACATGAATTCTATTTATATCTATCGTTATTTTTACAAAAAGAAGAAAAATAATCAATACATATTGTTTTGTATAATATTACACATATTTATTTTATCATTCATTGAATGAACAGTTTAAAAATAAAAAGACAATCATCCATTCAATAAATAAAATAATGAGTTATTGAGAATAACATTTACTATTAAATCAAAAATTCGTGTTTTTCATTTTTTTGTTGTAAGAAATTACTAATTAATAATAAAAACAACTAATAAATTATTATATTTTAATAATCTATTTATAGTATAAAATAACAAAAAATTAAAAAAATCAAAATAATAAAAAAGAAAGAAACAATAAATATCACAAATAATCTAATATTGTTATTCTTTATATTCATTGATGTTAATATTTTATATTATATTATTGTCTATTTGTATTCATGCTAAAGCTTATGATTGTATTCCATTAGGAGATAAATTTGAAGATGGATTTAATGATAACTTTCTTACACTATGCAAAACAACTAAGAATGGTTATTCATATTATTTTACGAGGGACTTCACTTATTCTTTAAATAAACCTATGGAATGTAAAAGTACATATTTTAATGGTAATTTTATAATGACAAGTTCAAAGGATTATTGGAATGCAAAGAATTTTTACATTAAACAAGATTCTCAAATTACATTAAATGGTAAATTTCATACAAGAGAAGAATTTAACATTGGAGAAAATTCTAAAATAATTTGGAATGGTTATGTCTCATTTGAACGACTAATTAAATTTGAAACAACTCCATCATTAAATCACCCTCAATTAATTATTTGGAATAGTAATAGGATACATCTTTACAAACCAACTAGATCATCGACAGGACAATTTGAAATTCAAAATCCAAGTAATAATGATCAATGTTTTGATGTGATGTCATTTAATAATAACAATGCACTTGATTTTGATAAAAAATCATATAATCATTATTTACCAAAAGACTTTGATAATGGACTTAGTATGACAGATGGTACAGCATATTTACTATCAAACAAGAGGTTAATGAGATTTTGTCCAAATGGAATTAAATTGAATAAAACTGTTATTTGTACACTAAATAATATGATTTATTCACCATTATCATATTCAGGAAGAGGTGATTATATATTTAATTATCCACATTGTCCATGTGATGATAATAGAAATGAATGTACTCTTAATATTAAAACAAGTTTAACAACAGTAAACTTTAACATGGTTAATATCAGCAATACAATTCTTCATATTGACCATGAAATTACATTAAATAACTTTGTGTATGCTAAACAAATTAATGTTGATGATAATGTTCTATTAAAAATAGGTTCACTTACATTAATCAACGAGTACAACCAAATGATAAAATTTAATAATTTTGAAATTACGAATATTAGAAAACCAAGGATTAGATCACGATTTAAATACAATTCAGAAACAAATACATTAGAAATTGATGGAAATAACCACATAAAACATTTATCAAATCAATCAAATAAACCATTCAATTTAATTATAAATGGTGATCTCACTTGTAATTCTTTTGTTAGTGATTGTATTTATTATTTCACTACTTCTTCTATATCAACAACACTAACTATTAATGGTAAAGGTAATAATAATATTATGACAATTGATGAAAGTATAACACTAATTAATCCATTTTCAAATTGTATTGTTTTAACTGGTAAATCAAATGAAGAATTTAAATGTATTAAATGTAAAAATGGATATTATCTTAATTCAAAACATGAATGTCAAGAAAATTCACATTGTACTAAATTAAATAATCAAAACCATTGTGTTGAATGTGAATATGGATATTATCTTAATTCAATACACAAGTATGTACTAAAAATCCGAGTGGATGTAAAATTGGAAATGACACACATTGTTATCAATGTGAATCAGGATATGTCAACGTAAATGGAGAATGTCAAGGAATGAATAATTGTACGAAGTCAGAAAGAAATTATTGTTTAAAATGTTTAAATGGATATAAAATAGAAAATAATACATGTGTTAAAGATGAAGAAGAATGTTATTATGAAGGAAATGAATGTGTTTCATGTTCAAATGAATATACATTAAATAATGGAACATGTGAAAGTAAAGAAAATAAAAATGGAAAGAATGAAGAAATATATTGTGAAAATGGAAAATACATCAAGAATAATCAATGTATAGAATGTACAGAATCAGCAATATGTAATTCAGATGGTATTAAATTAAGATGTCAAAATAACCAACAATTAGATAATAATACATGTATAAATGAAACATGTGAAGAAAGAAAGATAAAAGATCAAAATGGAAAATGTAATTACAATATTTCAAATTGTTCAAATGAATCATATGTTAATGGAAAATGTGTTGAATGTTTAACAACATATTCACTTAATTCAAAAGGAGAATGTATTAATACAATAATAGAAAAATGTGAAGAACAAAATACATATGGATGTAAACGATGTTCAGATGGATATTATTTAACAACAAATATGAAATGTTCAAAATGTGATGATAATTGTACAACATGTTTTAGTTCAGCTACATATTGTATGGGTTGTTCTAGTGATAAATATTTAAGTAGTAATAGAACATGTCAATCAAATAACGAATTAAATGGAACATGTTTACAACTATTAGCAGATGGAAGTGGATGTGGAATATGTAATAAAGGATATTATAGAAATGGGAAAGGATGTTCAGAATGTGGAGAAAAATGTGCAACATGCAATCAAAAAGATAAATGTACAACATGTGCAGATGGATATTTCATGAGTTGGATAGGAGAATGTAAATCAATAGACGAAGTTAAAGGATGTAAAGGAGAAATAGATAAAGAATATGGATGTAGAGAATGTTCAGAAGGATATTATTTAATAAATAAAGAATGTTCAAAATGTAAAGAGAATTGTACAAGATGTTCAATAAAGAATGAATGTAATAGTTGTGAAAATGAATATGTATTAACAAATAAAGAATGTATTTACTATTTAGATATTAATAAATGTAAAGAAGTAAAGAATAATAAATGTTGGAAATGTTCATTTTGGTATGGAACGAATGAAGAAGGAAATGAATGTAATAAAGAAGTAGTATGGTGGATGATAATGATA